ATACTTGAAAATTCAAATTTGTGTTTGAATAAATATTCCAAAAAAAAATTCTGTAATGACATATCCATAGAATTATTTTTAGAAAAACCAGCTTGATAATTAAAATTCAGCTAACAAGGGAAGGTCCCTAGGTGTGTTCCGGGGATTCTTAATATTATCATGCCAACTTACTACAACTAGGCCCCTGATGTCAACTATGGAAGAATTATCTGCTGAGGCTGCATTTCTTGGGGACTAGGGCAAAACACTGTTCCACTGGAGTATAGGGAATACATGAAAATTGATACATATGGGGCTAAAATAGTGATCACGTAGCTTCTGCATGATAACTTATTGCTCAAAAACTATGTGATCACTATTTTAGCCCCATATGTATCAATTTTCATGTATTCCCTATACTCCAGTGGAACAGTGTTTTGCCCTAGTCCCCAAGAAATGCAGCCTCAGCAGATAATTCTTCCATAGTTGACATCAGGGGCCTAGTTGTAGTAAGTTGGCATGATAATATTAAGAATCCCTGGAACACACCTAGGGACCTTCCCTTGTAAGAAAGGTGAATGAAACGTTGAAAATTGCAAAGAAAGAAATTTGTTTGAAAAAAATTTCTTCTTTTCTCTGAATTATTTTTCCCTAAATAAATATTTTCTTTTATTCATCTATTTTCTTTGATACAATTTGTTCAGCTCTTTCAGAAGATTTTTCAATAAAAATTAATTAGAAAACTTATAGTCTAAAATGATTAATATTGAAGTTTTAAACAAAAATATTTTAACAATATCACAATCCATGTTCCACATAAAAATTAATAAAGATCATTCCTAAAATTAACGTTAACAAACATTTCTAAATGTCGCTTTTATGAAAAATTTCTTTGAAGAAACTTTATTTTTTTTCTACGAATATGCCAATTAACAATTTCATCTCGTTTCGTTTACAGTTCTTCTCTAGTATTCTTTATCTTTTTCTTGTTTTAGCTCTTTCATTCAATCAACCGAAGTTTTGTACAACAGCCACTTGGCATTCCAATGGAATTACCATTGCTAATCAATCGATGGTTGGTAAATTTCCTACAGCCATTTTTGTGAACACAAACAACACAATTTACGCCGTTAATAAAGAGAATAATACAATTGTAATGTGGCAAGAAGAGAGTGTCATTCCAACAAAGATCATTCATGTTAATTTTACAAGACCGTCGTCTCTCTTCGTGACATTAAATGGTGATATTTATATTGATGATGGATCTATGAATAATCGAGTACAGAAATGGATAGCACAAACAAATACCTTTGTTACAGTGATGAATGTCAGTTCAGAATGTGCTGGTTTATTTGTCGATATCAATGATACTCTTTACTGTTCAATGCATTATCATCATCAAGTAGTGAAAAGATCATTAAATGATGCTGTGATGACTTCAAATCGTGTTGCTGCTGGAACGGGTAATGAAGGATCAGCTTCGAATCACCTTAATTTTCCTAGCGGAATCTTTGTCGATGTGAATTTGGATTTATATGTGGCAGATAGTAAAAATAATCGAGTTCAATTGTTCCAATCAGGAGAATCGAATGGTATCACAGTGGCCGGAAATAAATTACTTAATCCAACAATTACACTTGATTGGCCAAGTGGAATTATTTTAGATGCTGAGAAATATTTATTCATTGTAGATCAATACAATCATCGCATTGTTGGTTCAAGCTTGAATGGCTTTCGATGTTTAGTTGGATGTTATAGAGAAGGTTCACAATCCAATCAATTGAATCAGCCATTTAGTTTTAGTTTTGATCGTTCTGGAAACATGTTTGTTACTGATCAAGGAAATGATCGAATTCAAAAATTTAAATATGTAAAAAGATATTGTAGTAAGTTGAAGTATAATCTAATAAGATGATGAGATGTGATTGTTGATGATGAGAAACTGTATAGTTTTCGTTAGAAGAAACTGAGGTTTAAAGCAAAAGAAAAAACTGCACATGAAACTTGTTTGATCGAAAAACAATAAAATTGAGTAAATGAAATAATTGATTAATTGGAGAATTTCAATATAAAACTCCGTAGTAAATTCATTAAAAATATGAAATGTCAATTAATTATAGATATTCTTCGTTTATACATTCTCACTCTCAAGATGCGAAGATAACTATCACATCAAAAACATCATCAAAGATTTTATTTGTTATTCAATAAAAAAACAGAACTGCGTAGATGTTACCTAAGACTAACTGATCAACGTGAATAATATTATGCTTTATTTGATTGATTGTGAAAAAAATCCTTAGTTAAATCTAATCGGGAGACGGCCAGTTGCTCGCAGGACAGTTGCTCGTGGGACAGTTGCGCGCGGACATTTGCTCACCGGACAGTTGCTCGCTAGGGTAATTGCTCACTAGGACATTTGCTCGCGTGGACAGTTACTCGTATGGACACATGCTCGTCGGACACTTGCTCGCTAGGACACTTGCTCGCCAGGGTATTAGTGTGAGTGTTAGCGTGGGTGAGAGTGCAGGTGTAGATGTGGGCGTGGGTGCGGGTGTGGATGTCAGTGTGGGTGAGGGTGCAGGTGTGGATGTTAGTGTGGGTGAGGGTGCAGGTGTGAATGTTAGTGTGAGTGAGGGTGCAGGTGTGAATGTCAGTGTGGGTGAGGGTGCAGGTGTGAATGTTAGTGTGGGTGA